TAATGGTAGTCTATAATTTATAAGATGTTGAATGTTAGGTCATCATCAAAAATCTAAAAGAACATCTGTGGATTCATGTAATGATTAAACTTGTTGATCAATGTGTGTACCTGGTCAAGCTAATGGTCGTTCATAATTTATAAGATGGTGAATGTTCGGTCGTCCCAAACGTGTTATAATTAGATTAATATATCGGATTCAGATTAAGTATATTTAGCTCCCATTAAATATTAAAATATATTTGTATATTCTGACTTCATCCACCAGTCAACTGTTACAAATACAGAACAATTAAATGAAGTTTTACGTCTTATTTTTCTCGCCCAGTTTGTTTTGATGCAGAAAACGTTGTGCAGTGTGAAATGAAGATAATTTTGCAAGACGGCTGCATCATCTTAGCAATTCTTTGATTCCCAAATAATGTGAAATTCCGCTTTTCTGTGTCTCACTAGGTTTATGCATTGTACATACGTCATACACTGCGTAAGAAGAATATGTACGAGACAGTAGTTGGCACGATATATAGACATATCGCGGTACGCCATGCCACGATACGTGTATCGTATAGCGACGTCGTGTATTGATACTTGGCGATACCTTTTATTCCATAGAAAAGTAGGGATTTTTATAAGTTGTATTATGATTTAACAATTTTTTCACTGAAATTATTAGAAACTTTTTCTACGACAGCGAACTCTAACCACTTCTATCAACTATATTACCAAATATACAGTTATAAAGATATGAATTAATATATATAATATACATGGACAGACAGCATTGGGGGTTTACAAAATCGGTTAAATGTACTGGAACAATATTGTAAACAGTGGAATATGGATGTTAACCTTGACAAATCGAAAGTCGTAGTATTTAAGAATGGGGGTTCTCTCTCTCGGAGGGAAAGATGGTATTACATGGGTTCAAAGTTAGAGACCGTGTCACATTATAGGTATTTAGGTATTGAATTTTCATGTCATTTAAAGTGGAATTTTAATTGTTCATATTTATCCTAACAGGCCACGAAAGCTTTAAATGTTATAAAGAAATGCTTATCTAATACAGGAACACGAAATGTTAAAGTTGCATTTCAATTATTCGACTCAATGGTAGGTCCCATATTATATTATGGTTCCGAGATCTAGGGGCTCGAAATGAACGTAGAGATTGAAAGTGTTCAAACTAAATTTTGCAAATGGCTTCTATACACTGGACAAAAAATCACTAACAACATGATCAGAGGTGAATGTGGGAGGTATGAGCTTTATATCAACTATATTTGTAGACCTATTAAATATTTTTTGAAAACCCAGGAAATGGGAAATCACAGATTACCAAAACTATGTTATAATATGTTATATAACCAAAGTCAAATAGGTAGAAACAATTGGTGTACGTCTGTTAAAAATATACTATTAACGCATGGTTTTGGCGATGTATGGTTTTCACAAGGAGTGGGTAACATAAAACAATTCATGTGCATATTCAAACAACGACTTAAAGACAACAGTCTTCAATCTTGGCAATCAGATATTACCACTTCTACCAAATGTCAGTTCTATTCCATTATAAAAAATGAATTTGTATGTGAAAATTATTTAAACTCAAACTTATCTCAATCCTTAATTTTTCATCTGGCTAATTTTAGATGTTCAAAGCATAAGTTAAATATAGAACTTGGAAGACATCATAACATTCCATTTCATGCTAGATTATGTAATATTTGCAATTATAAACAGGTAGAAACAGAATACCATTTCATACTTGTCTGTCCAGTGCTACAGGATCTCAGAGTTAACTTCCTGCCAAAATATTGTCACTTAAAACCCAAAGATTTCAAACTTAAATCTCTATTCACAAGCAAATCTATAGATGTCCAAAAAAACTTAGCCTTGTACATAAAAAAAGGATTAGATATTAGACAAGAAATACTCTCATGAATTTTATCCAATCGACTTATTGTATATACCTGCCTTAATTAAAAGTTTGAACTATTATTTTGTATAATTAATTAATATGTGAAATCTAGATTATTATTTTGTATATAATATATTTGAAATTAAAATTATTATCTGTATTTGTTTAATATACTATATTTAATATTTAAATTATTTTTGTATATTTGTGGGACTTTGCTACGGCAAAGTCCCAGTTTGTTATCGAATTGTCAATTCTTTTTTTTGTGGGACTTTGCTTTCAGCAAAGTCCCAGTTTGTTATCGAAATGTCTATTCTTTTTTTTTTTTTTTTTTTTTCGAAATTTACACACCTTCCTGTGCTTAGACTGCAATAGTTGCAGCAACCATTCAACTTTCCTAGACCTTCTGTAGTGGCAACGTGTTGCATAAATATAAATTGGAACATTTTTGCAAAACCGGAAATGCCACAGTCCAATATGTGCAAAAAGTAGAAAATCGGACCTAAAAGTCGCATTTTCCGGTCGATTTTCTTCGGGTTTTTATTTCTGGAATCTACGTGTAATTTCTGATATAATAGCACTTAAACAACTTCGAAATTCGAAAATTTGTCGCACACTTTTTTCGGCCGAATTTGCATTTTTAACAAAAAAAAAAACTTTTTAGCTTTTTGTCTGATTAATCTAAAAAAATTTGAGCAAAGACAATTCATGAACGTGAACAAAATTGTATAGTCAAATTTTTTACTTTACTTCCGGTTCAAACGGGAAATCGATTCTCACTTCCGGTTGAACTACTTCCGGTGTAATTAATTTAGCGCGACGAAACTTATATGAATCGATAGCCAAAGTTATGACAAAAAAACGAAGAATATAAAATCCGGTCCGAAGGTAATATTTTGGTCGCCATTTTGATTTTTCTGAAATGCGTCAGAATCTATTCAGAGATAACGGCTTATCCGGTTTTGATGATTTTGGTGTCAAATGAAAGAAAATAAAAATTAGAAAAAAAACTGTGGGAGCCGATTTTTGAATTTCGCTTTTGCTTTTTTGCAATTTCCGATTGAATTTTTTCGAAGTTTGAAGGCTCATATATCATGACCTAGACCTTTGATGACCTTGACCTTCATTGGGTCAAAGGTCATTGACCTTGGCTATCAGCTGATACTTTCATATTCGACCTCCGACATCTACTTCCGTTTTTATGGATGTCTAAAAACAGCCAAATTCGCAAATTTGGACTGCTCTAGCACGTGACCTAATTATCCTAGAGGGTTAATTTTTTCGGATTCTTAATGTGCTCTTCATACCCTTTCTAACGATATATCACAAAATTTTTTAAAATCAAAATTGAAATTCGTACTTTTTTGATATTTGAGTGTTTTTTACAATATTTTTGTGTTTTTGAGCTTAGTGTATGTATATCTTTTGACCTATTTGATGTAGAAGTTTGAAATTTATAACACTACTTGACATTTTGAAAATGAATTAAATCATGACAAAAAAGTTCAGATGGGCGTGGCACATCCGCGTTAAATTGCTAGTTGTTCAAATCTGGGGCAGGGGCATAACTTGCATAGTCTACATTTGTTCAATAAGGGACCTTGCACACAAATACCTCATCTCTTTGGCCAGTTTGTGTTTAAAGGACAGTTGTTTCAGATTTATAGTTCAAAAAAAGGAACGGGTTTTAGAATTTCCATATTTTCATTTTTTGACATTGACCTTTGATGACCTTAACGTTTGTAGGGTCAATGGTCATTAACCTTGGTTATCTATTTATACTTTCATATTTGATGTCGGACGTAAGCTTCCGGTTTTGTAGTCGTATGCATTTTGAAAGTTTGATGAGTGATATCTCGTGACCTTGACCTTTGGTGACCTTGACCTTTACAGGGTCAAAGGTCATTGACCTTGGTTATCATTTGATAATTTGACATTTGACCTCCGACATGTACTTCCGGTTTTATAACTGTCCGAAAAAAACAAATTCGCAAATTTGGACTGCTGTAGCACGTGACATAATTAACTTAGAGGATTAATTTTTTCGGTTTCCTAATGTGCTTCTCACGCACCTTACATTGATATATAACAATCGTTATTTTACAGCAAAATTGAAATTCGTCATTTTTTTTCAAATTTGAGGTTTTTTTTTACAATATTTGTGTCTCTTTGAACTTGGTGTATGTATATCTTATGACCTATTTGATGTAGAACCTTGAAATTTGGAATACATCTAGACACTTTGAATATGAATTCAACTATGACAAATAAATTGATGTGGGCGTGGCACATCCGGGTTGAATTACTAAATGTTTACATTTTTGGGAAGGGGCATAACTTGCATAGAATACATTTGTTCAAAAAGGAACTTTGCACACAATTACATCATCCTTTTGGCCAGTTTGTGTTAACAGCTTAGTTGTTTCAGCTTTATAGTTCCAAAAAAGGAACGGGTTTTAACA